GCAGACCTCAGGGTTCAAGAGTTATAGAACTCAACCTCCAGCCCTTTTCTGGGAGTCAGTGGGCAGAGCTTTAGGGTCCAACCCTCTCATCACTTGGTCTTTCTGGTGACCAGCCTCAACCTGACGGTGTTTAGGGGGACCTCTCTAAGTTACCTTATTAGCATAAACTCAAGGTGTGATCAAGAAAGGCTCTTTATGAATAACAGAAGACACTGTCACACAGGAAATTCCAAGGGCTCTGGGAGGTTTGTGCCAGGAACTGAGGACAAAGACATATTTGACCACGCATAGCCAAAGTGACTTCTTTATTAAGGCATTTTATTTAAATAACCATACACCACTAGATAAAGCTAGGCTTTTTTTTTTTATGTTTCTCAGCAAAGCCATGTGTTTTTTCCCTTCTACTCAAAACCTAATGCTGTTAAGTAAAATTTACACATTGCATTATAACCATAAAATGCAGAGAAAACCTGAACTCATGATGGTTTAATTACTACACACCCACCATAATGGAAAGTTTTAAAGAACTCTGATGCTTAAGAGGGGTGAGAGTGTGCTTAAGAGGAAAACAGGAAGGGAAGGCTGAGTGTGGCACTGACACTAGGTTGTACCACACTTTACTCTCCAGAATGTGTGAAGGCCTATTGGATAAAACACCCTACCCTCAGTGTTCAGATGGCACTTTTCTCAGGAAGGAGCAGGGTCCTGGAGAACCAGACACTCAAGGAAAGGGCTACATGCGTCCCTAATAGAAGAGAAGGCAGGCTTTGAGGGGCTCCCCCAGGGTCAGAGACAGCCGGGCCGGCTTCAACAACAGTGAAGTGGACGCCCATTCGACTTCCAGAGCGCGGACAAGTGTTAGGCAGCTTTCTAGCCACAGGTAGAAACAGTACTTGTGAAACTTTGTCTTTGAGGGGAACTGTCAGAAATGCTGAAACCTGAGCAATAGAAGGAGAAAGGAGGCATGAGGAGGAGAGAAGCAATTTTAGGAACACACAGAAGGAAAAGACAGAACCACCTCCATGTGCTCAGTCTGAACCTTTACAAGAGAAAGAAGTGAACAATCCTTATCAAAACTTTATACCGAAAAGATTAGACTGTCACTATAGACACAGAGATCAGGACTGTACTGAACCCAAACTTTTTTCCAATAGGGACAGCGTTGGGTTATACCCACAGGAGGTCCCAACAGAAGGAATCACTTTCCTAATCCTTTCTGTATCAGCAACTACCTGGACACCTTGTTTCTGGCTTCACATAAGTGGCGAGCTCCTAGTCCTCAGGCCAAGTCCATGGTTGTCTTGGTCCCTCAACTCATTTTCATGCACAAGAATTGGCTCATTCTGTTCAAAGTCCAGACAAAAACCTGACAGGGCAGTTGACATTATAATTCAAGAAATTAAAGCATTAACATTTCTGCTGAGAAAAGTTACCTTTTGGAGATGATCTGTTCAAAGGAATAAACTCAAGTTTTAGAATGAAGTAAAAGGTTTTGAGCGTCCGCTTCCTTGCCATTCTTAGAACTTTGAATAGAAAAGGGGAACGGGATCAATGGCAACTGTACAGAGAGGTGCAGCTGAAGGTTAGCTTAAGAGAAAAGGCGATGGTAAGAATAAAGGACCTGTAACAAAGTCCTGAATCCCACTGCAGACATAGGTGCCGGCAGGCTCAGGAAGCAGGATGCAATGTGGGCCCACATGTGTTTTCAGCCAAAGCCTTAAGCTCTGTCCACAGGGAGCAGCGTTTGGAGCAGTCTCTAGGCCAAGAGGCAGGGCCTGTTTCTATGGTCACTTACAGTGGTTAGATACTCGGATAAAGATTTGCCTCCCTGACCCTCCGAAGG